AAGGGGCACCCAGGGGATCCTTCACCAGCCTCAGCCTTCCAGGGACAGCCTTTTCGAAGCCGCCAAGAGCTCCCACGGGGGTCCCTTCCGAGAAGACAAAGTGGAAGACGTCAAAGCCTTGGTCAAAATCATCCCTGTCTTTTTGGCTCTCATCCCGTACTGGACAGTCTACTTTCAGGTGGGTGGATTAACCGCGGTTACTTCTGGATCGTTTTCTAGGATCAGGGCTTTTCAACCAGTGGTACGGGTACCACCTGTGGTACATTGGCACCTGGCAGGTGGTACGCGAGCATCCTAGAGAAGTAGTAGCGGGAGAGGGGAATGGGCTGAACCAATGGCAGCACCGCACAAGCCTGAGCGAGAGATGGCTGGAGCTGCAGGGCTGGCAGGGCTCAGCGGAAGCGCCAGGATCAGCGCCAGGATCCAGCTGGAGCTCAGCACTGATCCTGACGCTTCTGCTGAGCCCAGAAGAAGCGCCGATCAGCTGGAATGTTGCAGCATCTCCAGGCTCTTTTGATTTACATTCAGATGCTTGGCCACTGATTCCTATTTATGACGGTCACAGTGTCCCAGGGTCATGTGAAGGGACCAAAACCTGCTGCAACCACCCAGCAGACGGGGGGAATAAAAACCAAACACCCCCCCACTCCACCCCCGCTGCCAGTCCTCAACAGAAATGCTCACAACAATGGAAACCTCGGACAGGAGGAAGAGCGCCGCCGGGTGGGCAGGTGTCTTGCTCGGCTGTGGCTTGGGGGGCACTTTTTTCAGTGCCATTGTAACTTCGAACAGTCACTAAGCGAACTGTTGTAAGTCGAGGACTACCTGTACTTCATCACTTTTTTCCTTTTTTGGGGGGGGTCATCACGTTTTTGACACCTTGGTAGGCGACTGGTGGTACTCGAATGTTGCCATATCCTAAAAAGTGGTACAATGGGTGAAAAGGTTGAAAAGCCCTGATCTAGGTGGCACAACCTATATGCGAACCGGCAGGTAAGCACAGCAAATTAGACATTAGCCTGATCCGAATTTCTTCGCTTTCAAAACAAGTTCAAGTTCCTCGTCCTCATGCACAGAAAGAAAGCTTCAGAATCTGCTTGAGGCTTAAAAGAGAACTTGCTGGGCACATAACCCCTTATTTATTTATTTTTGCAAAAACTGAGTTAACGCGGCGATTGATTCCAATCGGCCACGATCCATGCTAGGTCAGTGCTAGGAATCCTGGTCAAAGTTAAGAGCACTGGAATCGATCCCTATTGTGGGAAAAAAATTGTCTTTGACGACTCTGGCTTTGCTCAGGCGCGTTCTGAGGTGTCCTTTCTGCGCATGAGGACTAGGAGCTTGGTCTTGTTCTGTGCTTTTTGGCTTGGGACTATCCGGCTACGGGATCGGAGGCTGGACCTGGTCCCGAGTTGTTTGGGTTTAACATTGGGGATTTTACTTCAACAAGCGGCCCAGAGTCAACTGTAAGTGAGTTGAGCAGCCAGATAAATTTTCTTAATAAATAAAAATATATAAACTAGGTTGAAGAGATGGGGACTAACAGCAGCAGCTGTATTTGTGATGTATTCTTTGGTTCACGTGCTTTTTATCATTTATTGTTTCTGTTCCTTCTTAGTGGCCCACAGTCACCTGTGTGTGTGTTTGTGTGGGGGCTCTAAATTGAGTTAAAATAACAGGTTAAGACAGGCAGTTAGATAAATTTAATAAGTAAATAATTGGGAAACTACACTGTGGCCTTTTTTTTTTAGAAGGCAACGGATCATCTGAACAATGGGAGAAACACATTTAATTTGGGGGTATGAGCTGGTTGGTCAGGCTAAAGTTAGTCAGCCATTGACAAAGAGGGTTTGATCCTTCTAGATTTTGTAAAGAAAGGTGCTGAGCCATAAATCCTTTTGACTTCACAGATGCAGACCACCTACGTCCTCCAGAGTCTCCATTTGAAAATCCCACAGTTTTCCAACAGCACGTCCAACGGCACCGCAATCGGCCACACGGTGAGCCACAAAGTGAAAATAGGATAACAAGAGTTGGAAGGGACATCTGTGCAGATTCTCAGTCATCCAGGTTGCCTCTTGAAAAAGCACCTTTGGGGCAGTTGGAAGGGACCTTGGAGATCTTCTAGTCCAGCCCCTACTCAAGCAGGAGACCCTCTACCCATTCGGGACAAATGGCTGTCTGGTCTCTTGTTGAAAACCTCCACGGATGGAGCATCTGCCAGCCTTACCTTATTGAATGGACTAGACTAGACTAGACTAGAATAAAATAGAATAAAATAGAATAAAATAGAATAAAATAGAATAAAATAGAATAAAATAGAAAATGGAATGGAATTACAGAATGGAATGGAATGGAATAGAAGTAGAGTAGAGTAGAGTAGAGTAGAGTAGAAGAGTTGGAAGGGACCTTGGAGTTGTTCCACTGGTTAATTGTTCTAACTGTCAGGAAGTTTCTCCTTAGTTCTAGGTTGCTTCTCTCCTTGGTTAGTTTCCATCCGTTGCTTCTTGTCCTACCTTCAGGTGCTTTGGAGAATAGCTTGACTCCCTCTTCTTTGGGGCAGCCCCTGAGATATTGGAGCACTGCTATCATGTCCCCACTCGTCCTTCTCTTCGTTAAACTAGACATACCCAATTCCAGCAACCGTTCTTTGTATGTTTTAGCCTCCAATCCCCTGATCATCTTTGTTGCTCTTCTCTGCACTCTTTCTAGAGTCTCAACATCTTTTTTACATCGTGGTGACCAAAACTGGATGCAGTATTCCAAGTGTGGCCTTCGTTTGCATAGTTTTCCTTTGTAAACCAAAGCTATAAACAAACAATATCTATACACACACAGTCTTCCATTATTTGAAGGACTGTCACAGAGAAGAGGGAGTCAAGCTATTCTCCAAAGCACCCGAAGTCAGGACAAGAAGCAATGGATGGAAACTAATCAAGGCGAGAAGCAATCTGGAACTAAGGAAGGAGGGTGGAAGGGAGGAAGGAAGGAAGGAAGGCAGGAAGGAAGGAAGGAAGGAAGGAAGGAAGGAAGGAAGGAAGGAAGGAAGGAAGGGCAATGGATGGAAACTAATCAAGGAGAGAAGCAACCTGGAACTAAGGAGAAATTTCTTGACAGTTAGAACAATTAACCAGTGGAACCACCTGCCTCCAGAAGCGGTGAATGCTCCAACACTGGAAGTTTTTAAGAAGAGACTGGACAGCCATTTGTCTGAAATGGTGCAGGGTTTCCTGCCTGAGCAGGGGGTTGGACTCGATGACCTCCAAGGTCCCTCCCAACCCTTTTCGTCTATGTTCTATGTTTTCTAACTAGCTTAAGCAATTGGACTTTTCGTGCAGTGCTAAAAATTGGAGGGTTCCCGAATGCCTTTCCGTGTGTCCCTTCGGGTCTCCCGCGTGGTCCCAGAGCCGTTCATGTCCGTGAAAGCCCGGAGATCACTCCGCAAAACCGCAGGTCAAAACATCTCCCCTTGGAGAAGACCCATCTCCCCCAAAATCCATTGGAAGTCTTGCTCCATCAATTGACCGATCACATACTCCTGTTTTGCCCATTTCAGCATTCCTGGTGCGCTTTGTCTGGCATAAATATTTCATCATTAGAGTAATCACAGTTTTTAAAAAAAAGACCATTGGAGATTCTGGTGAGGCTTTCCCGTTTAATTGGGATTTTTCACCCTTCCCCTCGTGAACCTTTCTGGTGATTACAGAGGAGCGAGTAACTTTTTGCAAGCGGCTAAGGGTATATCGGCTTGACCTGGGTCAACATCTCACAAGGTGGAATTTTTAATGAAGAGCAAGGCATCTGCAGAAGGTCTGCAACAACAGAGAGAGGATGAGAGCAGATCCCCACGCGGTTTTTGTGTAAATAACTTTATTTTAGGAACGGTTTTTCTGTGCAGACCACGCGTGCTGATGGTTTAACCTATGATCCCTCATGAAACTGCCGTTCTTCTCCGCTTGTGGGTTGATGAAGACAGACACTTAATGAGTTTACAGTTTCTGCATCTCAGAGTGGAGGGGGGGGGGAATTTTAATTTCTCTGCTGACAGGATTTTGTTTTTAGCTCCTGGGAAGTTGGCTGGCGGGGGCCCAAGGATTGAGCAGATGTTCTCCAAAGCCAGAGGGCCGTAGGGATAAAAGCAAAGTGGAACGGCTTGCCTCCAGAAGTTGTGGGTGCTCCATCACTGGAGGCTTTTAAGAAGAGATTGGTCAACCATTTGTCTGAAGTGGTCTAGGGTTTCCTGCCTGAACTGGGGGTTGGACTGGAAAACCTCCAAGGTCCCTTCCAAGATTGCTGTTCTGTTATTCTGTAAATCGTAGGTTCTGCTCGCTCTCACACACATTAATCATTGCTGACGTTGGGTTGAGGTTCCTCAACGAGCAACATGGGGTCCATCTGCACAGAACAGGGGTCCCAGGTGGAGGACTAGATGGTTGAATTTGGGTTGTTGCCTTCATCTCTGTCTCTCCACCCCAGTTCCCCGCAGCTTGGCTAACCATGTTTGACGCTGTGCTGATTCTCATCCTCATACCCCTGAAAGACAAAGTGGTGGACCCCATCTTGAAGAAGAAGGGGCTTCTTCCTTCCTCACTGAAGAGAATCGCCTTGGGGATGTTCTTCGTCATGTGCTCTGCGTTTGCTGCAGGTAAGGCACAGGATTTTGGGCTATGGAGTGCCACCATTGGACCAGGCGATTGATATGGTGTCATGAGGTCTATGGAGATTCTCAGTCATCCAGGTCAAGATTGTCCCAAAGAAGAAATAGAGAGGGAACCTCAATGTTGGAGATTTTTTTAGAGATATTGATTGATTTAATATTTAGGATTTAGATTTATAATGGAAATGAAAATTAATTGTTACATTATAGTTGGAAATTGTAATATGGAAATGGGTTCGTGATCATGAAAGATATTGTATTAGTAAATGAGGACCTACCAGGAACGAGAAATAGAATATATCTGTGAAAGAAAGTAAGAATGTAATTTTTGGAATAATATATGTACTCTATACACGATAATTATTTTGTAATGGAATGAGGGAAATTAGGTTTACTCAAAGTCTAAATATTATGGTTATTAAAGGCTAATTGGAACATGGTAAATGGAATTAAGTAAAACTTAAAAACAGGACTTGGATATGTACAGTATNTATAAGTAAAATGTTATTGACAAACGTATTGATTGATTGAGCTTTATTTAGAAATGTCTTAATTTGAATGGGATATAATAATAATGGGAAATAGAGAGGGAATTTTAAGGATCTAACCTGCAATCCCCATCTGTGGTGATAGAGGGGGGCTAAACCCATCTTATTCTCCTTCTGATGGTTTGGATTACTGCACAGTTGATCCTAAACAGGATGACCAATCAAGGCGAGCACCGTGCAATCAAAACCGCAATGCTTTGTACACAGGTGTGAGGTCAGGAAGAACGTGGCGGAACCTCAGATAAGATGTTGCAGATTGCGAGTCATTTCCTGCGTGTTTTTTTTCCTTCCAGGAATATTGGAAAGCGACCGGCTAAGGAGAGTCAAGACCAAAATAATTGATCAGAAGATTGGGACGACCATCTATCATGCAGCCGACATGTCCGTCTGGTGGCAGATCCCTCAGTATATTCTGATCGGAATCAGCGAGATCTTAGCCAGCATTGCAGGTTGGTTTAAAATGTTGCGTGTGCAAAACAGGCTCCCCTTAAGCCTCTTCATTCAGTCTATCATTCCCTAGCCGAAAAGACCAGAGATTGCAAGTCTCTCTTTGTAATCTTTGGAGAATCTGAGTAGGTAATCTAGGGCCAACTGCCTGGGTCCTCAACCTTTGTTAGTTTTTAGACGGTTTTCATTGAGTAACCAAATTGGCTGCATCAGTACATTTCTCTGAGGCAGAAGTGGGCAATTAATTTTCCCAAGGGGCTACATGAGAAAGCGGGACTGCCGTGGAGGGCCAAACTGATAGGCTGAACGTAATTCTGCTCAATTACGTGCATGGCGTAGAGTTATTTATGAGGATGTTTTTGAGTTTGGGTCATGAAACGTCTGCGGGAAAACAACCAAACTCGGAGAATACCGAGGACCCCAGAGTTCTCCTCCTCCTCCTCCACCTCCTCCTCCTCCTCCTCCTCCTTTTTTCCATAAATCTCATTCCCTTCTAGTACTGATGATGTACCCTAGTTGGGTCATGAAACATCTGCGGGAAAACAGCCAAACTCAGAGAGGACCAAGGACCCCAGAATCGTTGTTGTCGTCCTCCTCCTCCTCCTCCACCTCCTCCTCCTCCTCCTCCTCCTCCTCTTTTTCATAAAGTTCACTCCTTTCTAGTACTGATGATGTTCCCTAGTTGGGTCATGAAATGTCTGTGACAAAACATTCAAGCTCAGACAGCACCGAGGACCCCAGTCGTCGTCATCGTCGTCGTCATCGTCCTCCTCCTCCTCCTCCTCCTTTTGACCCCCACAAACCTCACTCCCTTGTAGTACTGATGATGTTCCCTAGTTGGGTCATGAAATATCTGTGAGAAAACATTCAAGCTCAGACAGCACCGAGGACCCCAGTCGTCTTCATCGTCCTCCTCCTCCTCCTCCTGCTCCTCCTCCTCCTCCTCCTCCTCCTCCTCTTTTCCATAAAGCTCACTCCCTTCTAGTACTGATGATGTTCCCTAGTTGGGTCATGAAATGTCTACGAGAAAACCACCAAGCTCAGAGAGCACCAAGGATCCCTCAAACACTTATTTACATTTGATTTCTGATTCCCGACTGATCTCACATGGGCCTGATAAGGACAGCCAAAGGGCTGGATGTGGTCTGGAGCCCATAAAAAGCCCAGGTTTAAGGCGTAAACACTCTACTTACAGTACAAACTACTATTGGCCCACACCAGGATTTAACTCCAGGGAAGCAGCCAGATTGTTGGACGGCCTCTAGGTTATTTTGGGTAGATTTTTTTAAAAAATTCCTGGCTTGACTAAACCAGGGTGTGGTGGCCTCTTCGCTGGTGCCTCAATATCCAGGCGCATCATCCACAATTGATATATTTTTTTTCTCTTCTCCCTGTGTGTTCCTCTCCTCCCCTCCAACTTTTGGTGCAACCTACAAAGGGGAGGTGTGTGCGTGGCCGTAAAATCTCATTTTCTGGACCGTTTCACACACATTTTAGGTTCATTAGGGAAAAAAAAGCCGCCAGCCTCTCACTCTTTCGCACAGCACTCCGATCGCCTTGTCTCCTAATTAAATCATAGCCGTGTTCTCACCGTGGGGCTCAAATCAATTCCGATCAACTTGGTTTCTCCTTTTGTGGGTTTTTGCTAGCAGTGACAAACTCGCCTCCAGTTTTTACGGGCAGGAGCTGGGCATTTTTGAGTCTAGAAATCAAATATTGCAGAGGAGCACCTGGGAGAAAGATGCTGGATCAAGCCCCGGTGAAGACTAGACCAACATTCAGAGGCCCAGTTTGGTCTAGTGGTTAAGGTTCCAGGCCAGAAAGTGGGCGTCTGTGAGTTCTAGTCCCGCCTTAGGCATGAAAGCCAGCTGGGTGACTTTGGGCCATTCACCAGGAGACTTGGGAATTCTAGTTCTAGTTCTAGTCCTGCCTTAGCCATGAAAACCAGCTAGGTGACTGGGAGTTGTGATCCCATCTTGGGCAGGAAAGCCAGCTGGGTGACTTTGGGCCAATCACCAGGAGACTTGGGAATTCTAGTTCTAGTTCTAGTCCTGCCTTAGCCATGAAAACCAGCTGGGTGACTGGGAGTTCTGATCCCATCTTGGGCAGGAAAGCCAGCTAAGTGACTTTGGGCCAATCACCAGGAGACTGGGAGTTCTAGTGACATCTTGGGTGTGAAAGCCAACTGGGTGACATTGGGCCAGTCATCAGGAGACTGGAAGTTCTGGTCCCATCTTGGGTGTGAAAGCAAGCTGAGTGACTTTGGGCCAATCACCAGGAGACTGGGAATTCTAGTCCCACTTTAAGCATGAAAGCCAGCTAGGTGTCTTTGGGCCCATCAACGGGAGACCAGGAGTTCTAGTCCCATCTTGGGCGTGAAAGCCAGCTAGATGACTTTGGCCCAATCACCAGGAGACTGGGAGTTCTAGTCCTGCCTTAGGCCTGAAAGTTGGCGGGCTGATTTTGGCCTATCACCAGGAGACTGGGAATTCTAGTTCCACCTTAGGCATAAAAGCCAAGTGGGCGACCTTGGGCCAGTCCTTCTCTCTCAGCCCAACTCACCACTCGGGTTTGTCGCTGTGAGTAAACTAGGAGGAAGACGGCGCATTGGGAGGTGTTCACCGGCTTGAGTTGCGTGTAAAAATCAATTAGGGCGGGGTGCAGATAAATAAACAAACATCCGATCTGCAAAAAAAAGACCATCTTTCCCTAGACGAGGGATGTGCACACGGGAATGTCGTGTGTGTGTGTCTCCCTCTGTGTTGCTCATTCTAAAAATGCGAGCGGTACACAAGAAGGATCGCATTGCTGGTATTTAGGCTTGATTAAAATTCAATACGGCGGCTGGTGTACTTTTCCACTCCTAATGTTGAATTATTTCTTTTTTCCCCTCCGGACACATTTGAAATGGCAATTTGGCCATTTGCTCGAAAAGGCCTCCAGAGGCAATCTTTTAAGGCTTGGTGGGAGTGCAAATAGGAATTGGGCTTTGTTTTTTGGGGGTTTTTGTCGATTTTTGAATTCTGGATTGAGAACAAGACTCTCCCGTTCCTCATTCTTTCGTTCCTCTCCGTAGGGAACGAGCCACGTTTTGTCCTCTCTTCTCCAGGAAAATTCAGATTTAGAAAGTTAAGGATTTTGCTTCTTTCTGATATTTTGAAGAGGCTTCGTCTGAAAAAAAAACCCCAGACATCGTTTTTTGGGAGGCAATCAATGGATCGACAGCTCACCCAGCCTGCTTTTGTGAGTTGTAGCTGCGCGTTGACCACGAGAGGGCAGGATTTCCAGAGGTTTGAGAGGCACAACCTACACAACATTTTGTGCCTGGCGCTTGAGTTCTGGACATCGGAGGCTGCCCCCGTTTTGAATTTCCAAGCACAAAAGCCAAAACTGTCCTTGTCGAGTGGTGAGAGCACCGTAAAGCAGAGTATGAAACCTGCGATGCAAATGAATTAAAAGGCAAATAGATTTTAAATGTCTGAAAATCCGTTGCTTCACCCTTGGTCCCGAGAGAAACTTAGGTTTTGCGCCTAGCGCAATCGCTCCCAACGGAATAAAGAGGCAGAGAAACAGGAATCTTTCTGTCGAAGTTAGCTTGCGAACTCACCCTTGTCTGTCTGTCTGTCTTCTCTTTTTTTTTGTTCCAGGTTTGGAATTTGCCTATTCCGCGGCTCCAAAATCCATGCAAAGTGCAATCATGGGTCTCTTCTTCTTTTTTTCTGGAATTGGCTCTTTCGTGGGCTCCGGACTCCTGGAGTTGGTGTCCTTCAACTCAATCGGTTGGATGAGTAATCACACAGATTTGGGTCAGTTATCTCTATTGCCTGGAATTTCCCCCCCCCCCAAAAAAAATATGCAGGCAGAAAACCATATTCAAGTTTACCTTTTATATGAATAACAACAACAACAGCAACAACAACAACAAAACAACAGGAACAACAACAACAATAATAATAAACTTGGAAGAGACTTTGGAGGTCATCTAGTCCAACCCCCCTGCTCAGGCAGGAAACCCTATACCATTTCAGACAAATGGCTGTCCAGTCTCCTCCTCCTCCTCCTCCTCCTCCTCCTCCTCCTCATCATCATCATCATCATCATCATCGTAATAGTAATAATAATAATATAAAGTTGGAAGATACCTCGGAGGTCATCTAGTCCAACCCCTGCTCAGGCAGGAAACCCTATACCATTTCAGACAAATGGCTATCCAGTCTCAATAATAATAATAATAATAATAATAATAATAATAATAATAATAATAATAATAATAATAATAATAATAATAATAGTTGGAAGGTACCTTGGAGGTCATCTAGTCCAACCCCCTGCTCAGGCAGGAAACCCTATACCATTTCAGACAAATGGCTATCCAGTCTCAATAATAATAATAGTAATAGTAATAGTAATAATAATAATATAAAGTTGGAAGGCACCTTGGAGGTCATCTAGACCAACCCCCTGCTCAGGCAGAAAACCCTATACCATTTCAGACAAATGGCTGTCCAGTCTCCTCCTCCTCCTCCTCCTCCTCCTCCTCCTCCTCCTCCTCATCATCATCATCATCATAATAGTAATAGTAATAATAATAATATAAAGTTGGAAGATACCTCGGAGGTCATCTAGTCCAACCCCTGCTCAGGCAGGAAACCCTATACCATTTCAGACAAATGGCTATCCAGTCTCAATAATAATAATAATAATAATAATAATAATAATAATAATAATAGTTGGAAGATACCTTGGAGGTCATCTAGACCAACCCCCTGCTCAGGCAGGAAACCCTATACCATTTCAGACAAATGGCTATCCAGTCTCAATAATAATAATAATAATAATAATAATAATAATAATAATAATAATAATAATAATAATAATAATAATAATAATAATAATAATAGTTGGAAGATACCTTGGAGGTCATCTAGACCAACCCCCTGCTCAGGCAGGAAACCCTATACCATTTCAGACAAATGGCTGTCCAGTCTCTTCTTAAAAAGCTCCAGTGCTGGAGCATTCACAACTTCTGGAAGTAGGATTTGGGAATGGCCAGTCTGGAGAAAAGAAGAAATAGGGGAGACATGATAGCAGTGTTCCAGTATTTGAGGGGCTGCCACAAAGAAGTGGGGACCAAATTATTCTCCAAAGCACCAGAGGGCAGGACAAGAAACAATGGTTGGAAACTGATCAATCTGGAATTAAGGAGAAACTTCCTGAGGACAATTAAGCAGTGGAACAGCTTGCCACCAGAAATCGTGGGTGCTCCATCCCTGGAGGTTTTTAAGAAGAGACTGGACAGTCACTTGTCTGAGATGGTATAGGATCTCCTGCTTGAGCAGGGGGTTGGACTAGAAGACCTCCCAGGTCCCTTCCAGCTCTATTCTGATTCTGATTTTTAGCAAATGGGGATTGTAAATGAAAGAAACCCTGTAATAAACACATTCTCCTCTGAAATCTTAGGGGACCAGCTGAGCAAGACACAACTTAGTACCTAACATGGAAGCACTCTACTTCACTAAATGAGCTAACGGGGAACTTTTTTTGGGGGGGGGGCATAAAAGTTCTCAGGACCTTCTCAAATCAGGCAAGAAACTGATTCAGCAAGAAGAGCCCTACAAACGCTCGGATGGGCAATTATTTTCCCGATGAATCGATCAGGCTCAAATCCTCTCCTTCACCGATCCGCACAGACCCCCAAATTGCCAGCCAGCGTTCCTCTAAAACAATTAAAATTAGTTCTGCCTTGTGCGCGCGAGAAAAAGATTTTTATGGCCTGCGCAGTCTGATCCGTAAAAGAGGGGGGGGGAGGCAGTTTTTTTAAGCCCCTGTGCTTTTCAGGGAAAATATAGATCCTGGTTTTAAGTATCAGGTGGAAGAGCTTTGCTGTGGTTCTCGCCTCTGATTTAAAATGGGTTTAATTGAATTAATGCTTCCAAAGAAAAGAGGCTTCACCTTGACACAGGGGTATGACCGGCGAACTGACAGAATTCAGGTAGTTTCTTAAGCAAAGGAAATGTTTAATTAATATGTTTTGATTGGGCTGAAGGGGTCTGATTTGGCTGTAAATGTCAGGAAATCATACCTTCATTCCGCTCTTTTTTCCTTCCTTCCTTCCTCTCCATTCTCTTTTCCTCTCCTCTTCTCTTTTCTTGTCTCGTCTCTTCTTCTCTTCCTTCCCTCCCCTCTCCTCCTCCTCCTCCTCCTCCTCTTCTTCTTCTTCTTCTTCTTCTTCTTCTTCTTCTTTCCTCCTCTTCTTCTTCTTCTTCTTCTTCCTCTTTTCTTCTTCTTCTTCTTCTTCTTCTTCTTCTTCTTCTTCTTCTTCTTCTTCTCCTCTTCCTTTCTTCTTCTTCTTCTTCTTCTTCTTCTTCTTCTTCTTCTTCTTCTTCTTCTTCTTCTTTCCTCCTCTTCTTCTTCTTCTTCTTCTTCTTCCTCTTTTCTTCTTCTTCTTCTTCTTCTTCTTCTTCTTCTTCTTCTTCTTCTTCTTCTTCTTCTTCTTCTTCTTCTTCTTCTTTTTTCATATCTGCCCACCTTAGGTGAGTCCCAATCTTTGCCTTAAATTAAACGTTTTCTTTCTGGGACGTGTTCTAACTTCCCAGGCTCCATCCCTAGACAACCAAACCCGTCTCCTTACTTTTTTCTGCTTCCTGGACAGCTGCTTACTCCGCCTCTTGTCTCCCTGGCAGGTAACATCAACGGTTGCCATTTAAACTACTACTTTTTCCTCCTGGCGGTGATCCAGGGCGTCACCTTGCTGCTTTTCCTCATCGTGTCTGTCAAATACGACCGTCAGAAGTCGAGGACTAACGCCGGACGGACTTGACGTGACCGTCACAGAAGACGTGGAAGTCAGTGGGGAGGATCAGGAGCTGTGGCTGACCCAGCGAGAAACCGCCATTTCAGAGGGACGTTTTCGTTTGACTTGCATGATTTTTGACTTCTAGTTTGGCCCCCTCCCTGCTCTTACACACACACACAACAAATACACACACACACACACGCCGCTAAAAGCAGAGAGTGCCTTACGCTAGCAAACTAATGTTCCAGGCTGCATCCTGGGACGTAGACCAGACTTTGTCTGAGGTGTCCACGTTTCTCTGATGCTTTTTTTCCCCTCCAATCTGCTCAAGCCAGGATGTCACCTTTGGAACCCGACATCACAAACCCAGAAGCATTTCGGCTTCCCTTCCGGTGTGACGGACGGACAGAACTGCGCATCGGATGTGCGGGCATGCCTTTGTGTGACCGCGTCACCCATCCTGGCTTGAAAAATAATTCATTCCTCCCCCTGGACGCCTTTTGAGGGTCATAGGCCACGGTGCGACATCAACTTAGGTTTGTTAGTTGCTGGGCATCAAACGTTCTCTCTTACACGAGCATCACCAATGGTCCTGGTGGGTGGCACTCCGAAGCTCTACCGAGGGCTCTGGCGTTATGGCTGGGGATCATAGGCCTTTTTACTCCAGGGTATGAAGAGAACTAGTCAGACAAGGCTGAAATAAAGGATATTTTTAAGCTACTGTAGGTTTTGGGGTGGGGGGGATGTTTGGTTTGGTTTTATGTTAGCAATTATTTGGGAGTGCGAAACTGGTTTGGCATATTCTTGCCTGTTTCCTGACCCTTCCTTCCTCTCTTTTCTCCCTTCCTTCCTTCCTTCCTCCCTCCCTCTCTCCCTCCCTCTTCCTTCCTCCCTCCTTCTTTCTCCTTCCTCCCTTCCTCTTCCTCCCTACCTCCCTCTTTCTCCTTCCTTCCTCCCTTCCTCTTCTTCCTCCCTCCTTCTCCTTTCTCCCTTCCTCTTCTTCCCTCCCTCCCTTTCTCCTGCCTTCCTGCCTCCCTCTTCTTCCTCCCTCCCTTCTTTCTCCTTCCTCCCTTCCTCCCTCCCTCTTTCTCCTTCCTTTCTTCCTTCCTTCCCCTTCTTCCCTCCATCTTTTCCTTCCTTCCTTCTTTCCTCCCTCCTTCTTTCTCCTTCCTCCCTTCCTCCCTACCTCCCTCTTTCTCCTTCCTTCCTTCCTTCCTTCCTTCCTTCCTTCCTTCCTCTTCTTCCTTCCTTCCTCTTCTTCCCTCCCTCCCTTTCTCCTGCCTTCCTGCCTCCCTCCCTCCCTCTTCTTCCTCCCTCCCTTCTTTCTCCTCCCTCCCTCTTCCTCCCTCCCTCCCTCCCTCCCTTTCTCCTTCCTTTCTGCCTTCCTCTTCTTCCTTCCTTCCTTCCTTCCTTCCTTCCTTCCCCTTCTTCCCTCCATCTTTTCCTTCCTCCCTCCCTTCCCAGGGTTTTTTTTTTTTAATGACATTTGGGTTTAAATCTTCATCTGCTTCTGTTTTTCAAGTTGTCTCAGCCCCAACCTTGACTCGTCAACCCTTTAAACCAACTCTTTGCACTGAATTTTAGAGTCATTGGAGGGAAGAAAATCAACTTTGCCTTTTTTTTAGTTTTTTTTTTAAGAAAAACAACCTGAGAATTGCTGCTTAATTCTTAACCATGGAGGGGAGGCAGATCTCTTCTCTTTTTAAAAATATCAAATATCTTCCTTTAAACTTGTTTACACAACCCTTGTGATATGACCCTGTGTAAATAAATTTTAAAAAAACGGCTCGTCTCCATATTTTCTCTCCAAATTCGGTCCTTTGAGTTGCAAGGCGAAAATGTCTGAGAATAAACTCAGTACTTAAAAAAAACTGATGTGGTGCTGCAACGCTATTTGGAAGCTATTTTGGTATGTCTAGTTTTTCCTAGTGAAAAAACGGTCACAAGTCGCTTTTTTCAGTGCTGTTGTAACTTTGAACGGTCTGTTGTAAGCCAAGGTCTACTTAGGTAGTCCTGGACTTAGGCCCATCATCCCCTAAAGCCGACATCACCATTAAATTAATCTGATTTACGAACCCAACCCGTGGGGTCAATCCCAAAGCCAGCTCAGTTTGCAAAAAGGGTGTTTTATTCTATTTGACAAAAAAATCTATTTTATTAGGCAGGTCTGTGGGCACCTAACTCTGAAGCCGTTCATCCTCCGTCTATTCGGTAATAAAGCGACTGTCTCCTCTTAGAGAAAGAAATTTGGGGTGATTTAGCGTCTATTCCTCCGAAGTTAGAAAAAAATTTACACCTTAATGGCTGTCAGATCTTTAATGGCTCGATGGGCTAGAATTATGCCGTCGTGAAATCGAACTAACCAACCTTTAATCTCAGTCACCTGCTGATGTTGACACCCTTGAATTTTCAAAAGTCCTGCCCTTCCTTTTCAAATAGGAAAGCAGATGATCAGCTGTCTGTCTATCATCTATG